CCATAATGATTCTATGATTCTATCTGAAGATCTAAATATGAACTCAGATTGTGATTATTATATTCAATCAAAATCAAGAACTGGTGGGTTGGAAGTTTGAATATGTCTTTCTGAGTTTTTTGAATGAAGATGTTCTATTCAGTGCAGAGGTTTGTGCTTCTCAGAAGAACGTAAGATTTAAAACCAAAATTAGTTATAGAAACAACAGAAATTTTAGGAACTCAAACAGTGAGTGAGCAAGCCTGGTATAGTAGCCTTTACATACTGTACTCCTGTCATGTGTGGGGGTTGAAGGTGACATTTGAGATGCAAAAAAAGGAAACTAATTTAATGAAGATGGCATTCAGTTCCTAAAGCTCCTGTCATGCCTGCTTATTGTTTTCAAGTATCTTCAAGCTAGGAAATGTTTTCATAATGCCAGGGGACAAGAGGGTGAACCAAGCAGAGAACCTGCACTTCATAAAATCTGAAAATTTCTTGCTCTAGCAACTGCATGGTAGCTAACATTCACAAATCCTAACCCTGAGTTGAAATAAGGAGTACCAAAGTAAATTGGAAGTAGGTGAAGTGATGTTATAAAGCACTCTTAAATCTTGAGCCAGGCTATCACACAGTTGGGAACTTTATAATGTATGTAATCCCAGCGCACTAATAAAATTCTGGATCAATACTCCACATAGAGGAATAATTTAACAACTTAGCAGCAATTAAGGGTTTGCCAAGTGTATTGTATAAAAATAATCAAGACGTAGTCTCACCCCTGTCTCTCACTGCTATTCTGATCTTCCTTGTGTCCCTTTCTCTGTCTGTTTCTATCTTCTCCTCCTGAATTTTGCTTTCTTACATGTAGCCTTTATTCCCTTTGATTAATATATTTCAATCTCTTTCTCCCTCACTTTTCATGGTTTTTTCCTTTTGGCACAGTTGAGGTCCAACTATTTCCTGTTTTCCGTCTGTGGACTTACTAGTGTCTCTGATAACCACATAATGTTTCAATCAATCTCAGACTGGGTTTTCCAATATAAAGTAAACTTGTACACTAGGCTGCAGGGGAATTTTCACCCACAGACCTCAAAAGTGACAAGGATAAAAAACCAGTTTGCCAGAGACTTCAGCACTAATTCAGCACTACAGCACAAAGATTGACGACATGGAAAACAGATCCTACCTGACATTTTGGCTGTCAAAGAAAATGGAGAAGCTAACTGGACTAAAGGGGAAAAATGAGGAGCGATTGCACACACCGGAGCTGTGGCTAGGTGGCACTGAAAAGCCTTGTGTCTCATTTCCCCACTGCAGGATACAAGAAACTTCCCTGATTTCCACGCGAGGTGACCATATTCTGGCCAAGTAGAGTAACAGCCTTAGGAGGACTATGGTCATAGTCTGCTTATAAAAGCAAAAAAGACTCATCTACTCATCTGCCAAAACTGCAAGCTGAGCTGAAGCCCTCACCACAGAAATGCTTTTTAACTGAGTTAATCTGCATGTAACTTTCATAGGTCCCTTTCAGCTTCTGTTACTTCCTTGTCCTTCTCCATCTGGCTGCTCCTGCCTCACTAGTTCTCTGGTCTAGCTCCTGTTTTTCACTCCATCTTTTTAACTATCACTTTGCCATTAAGCCAATCAAACTCCCACCAGGTGCTTAACCACACTCAGCTGCACTGGTGTATTTCCTATTCTTTTCTTGATGCTGTGTATTCCTCCAAAGCCCTACACAAGGTGCCTTCCACTAGCTTGTTCTGGACCTCAGTAAAGGACAGAGAATTATTAGTATAGATACAGGAAATATTAAGGATGGATACTGAGTAAGGAAAGATGCCTAGAAGAGGGAAGAACATGTGGTAAACGACAAGACTTTTGGGACAAGTAGCTTTCTCACGTTGTAATTATTTGCCAATGCTGGACCAAAGTTTTACGTATATTTTTAAAGAGCCTACTCAGCAGCAGAAGCCTGAATTTTTATTTGTTTGTTTCTAAGTATAGGATGATAAAAAATGCTCTATACTACACTTGCAGTTTCTTCCACTGGTGTTGAGAAAATGAACACATTTCTCTTATCATATATACTGAAGATTTTATGTTAATCAAAGTTTGCAGATCATCTGCTGGTATTTTTGATTTAGGGAAGATTCTGCCACTGCCAAGGAAAACTTTGGGACAAAACAAGTAAGCGCAGCTGCATGTGGCTAATGCTTTTTTTGTTTAATCCATCCATTTTTTGATATGGATTTAAAAGGTTAATAAGAGGGGAGGTTGTAAAGCCAGCTCTCTTCAGGTACCTACATGCTGCTCACCAGCATGTGTACATGGAAAGATTATGCAGTAAACCATTTCTTGCAGAAACCCCCTGCTATTTTTTTACAGCATTAATACCGCTGTAAATTGATTCCAGTTTTGGTCCTTTGTAAGCCAGGGCCCTGGGAATATTGTCCCACCAGTCCCGCCTCCTCCCAGCCCTGCTATTAATCATGACTTGCCTGTCTTGAAATCTCCCACGGTTTGGTCACAGCTCCAAGGTCACAGGCTGTCATTAGCATTGATCTGAAAAACAGAAATGAACAATACAAGCTGAATCAACCTTTGTTGGATTTCTAAACAACTCTGCTCTGGATGCATAAATAAATAATACATATATAAAATGTCAGCCCTGGCACCTTCTTTTCCTCCTGAAAAGAATGACATGTTTGAAACCTCAGCCATCAGCATGGCTTTTACATCACAATTGTGCCTAAGAAGCCTAATGTGTTGCGGGTCATCAGATGATGAATTTTGGTATTGTGCATTGCACACTAGAAAAGAAATGATATTGCAAGGGAGTAGCTGCTAATTTTGCAGTACTTCTAACACTACTTACATTAATACCTGTAATATACTAGAAAGCATGTGCTTCACATGATATAAGTAAGGGTATTATTACATAATAACACCTGCAAACTGGATTAATTTATATGCCTATTTGTAAGTGACTGCTGTAGCAAGAGAACCTATAATCACAAGAGGCATCCAGACACTGTTTAAGCAGTTTCTACTGCTCATCTACAATAAAAATTTAAGATTTACTATGACCTATACTGTTCCACTGTAGTTTAATACCTAGCTACAACGATGTTTTATATGCATTAGGAGGAAGAAACCACTCAGCTGTAGAAAGCGTTTATGTACAGTACATGATGCAGATAAAAGTCTAAGAAAGTTTAAATGAAGAACAAGGGCACTGAAAATGAAGCACTGAATATATTGCCTGAATCTAAAATTAGGATTGGGTGAAATGATATGGAAAATAGAAAATGGCCAATATTTTGGTGAAAAGACCAAAAGGAAACAGAATTTTAATGGAATTTCAGATAAAATGAGACATAATCAGGCATGCGTATGCAAATGCACACATTTTATTGTGTCAAAAGTGTGGTGTACTCAAACTACCCACAATGTCTGAGGTTGTCAATAGGATGCATGCTCAGCTCATTCCTGAGGGCTAGAAGAGTACCGTGTATCTGCAAACTCCCAGGTACAGACTAGAAGAGCAGAGAGAAGCATGGCCAGTGAAAGAAAACAGCTGAGAGGAGGAGGGAATGGGGAAATGGACAAGAAAGATCGTTGTGTCCTGAGGCAGAATACTGCTGCTTTCTGGAGAAAGAGCGGAAGGGCTGAGTGGTAAGTGGTGAGGCTGGGAGAAAGGGAAGAAAACATGACGGAATGTGAAGGCAGAAACAGGAATGGAGAAGGTGAGGTCACACTGATTATACCTTGCTGTTTGGTAAGGTTTAGAAATCATACCATAGGTCGCATTTTTAAAACAAGCAACCTTCTCTTGTTACTCTAAGCATTCACTCTGTGATACATGAAATTCCTTAAACAAATACGGCTACACTTTGAAATAACCAGAAAGCAAGAAATAGTGCTCACCGAAATATTTCTCGGTGTTTTTTTATATTCCAATCATAACCACCTTTACTGACAAGTTCAAAAAACTCGGTCCTTCTCCTGCAACAAAACAGATTGTCAGAGAAGGAAACAAGACACTTCCAGGGCAGCACTGCAATAGAAACACAGCTATCTGGATGGTACGAAATCATTGTACCTCATGTATTATTGTTAAAGTCGTTACACTGACAGTCCATTTAAGCGAAACATACTAATTTCTGAACGTGTTCTATAAATGTCTGTTATCAATGTCAGAGTTGCCTAGTAAAAGCAATATTGTATTTATAGTCTCCGCAGATAAGGAAATAAATGGTGCCGAAATATTCAGTCTTCCATGGAAGCATGAAATATTCAACTATAGCAGTGGACAGACAGACAATAGAAATAGCCCTGAAATACATACACACTTCTCTTTACTTGTCCTTGCAAAATGGTTTTTACTTCTATACCCTGAAGGGTTTTTCAGAGATGTGCAATTCCTGTTATTTCCAGCACACAGAACAGAACAGTGAGACACAGAAGCTGCAGATGCCTTGAGTTAGTAGTTCTTATTAACTGGAAACTAGGTCTCCCTACTTGGTCTCATGCTTTGTCTTCTGGAATATCTTGCCTATGTCCTCAAAGATAGACAAAACATGAGCCAGGACATGCTTGTTTGGTGCCTTTAAGTACCAAAATTCTGACTCATCGTAGTCTGTAATTTTTTATGGCACTGAGACTCCAAGCTTATTGCACCCAGTGTGACTGTAATATGAAATAGATCCTGCCCCAGATATATTGGAAATTGAGGTACAAAAATATGGAGCAACTTGCCCAGAGTGACACAACATATTAGCATCAAAGCTGGAAAGCAAATATCTATGTTCTGAGTGACACTCCAGTGCCGCATCTCATAGGAGACTGTGCTATCTCTTTGTCAAGTGGAAATGTGGTTAGATTCCCCAACAGAAGAGAGTTTGCAAAGTCTTGTATTTTCCACATTTACTTCAGCTAGACTGAAATTTTGAACAGTGGTTATTGAAAGCACAGTCTTGATGGCAGCCAGTTCCTGTTTTACACACAAGCAGATGCACACTTCCAGGAATATTGCCCTTGATCAATGGACAGAATCTTACGTGGGACTTACTGCATTATTCTGGTCCCTTACTGTCATGCATTGTATGACCAGTCACTCATACCATAGGGCCTTTCTATAATGGATTTCATGACAGCAACTAGAACAGGGAGATACAAGGACTACGTGAAGATATCTAATCTTTTATGTTTAACGAAATAAGATATAAAAGAGTTTCACGTTACAAAATTTGCTGGGACAATGCAAAGTCACACATGCAGAAAACAGAATTCAGTTCTTTCACACAAAGTCATAGCATCATGGTCCCACTGCAAATAAGTATTGCAAGGATGAAAATTTTAATGGACAAGAGTAGTTGGCACATTAACCTTAAACCAGCCTAATCCTGAGCAGATCATCAACAACTACATACTCTATTAAGAGTGCATGCAGTGGATTTTTGCATCCTGTATTTCAGTGCTCAGTCTAACAAGTAAAATTTGGTAATGATTTCATTTTGAAGTATTGGATATTCTGGGCAATTCATATGTTACTGCACAAAACCCAGGCAAGAATGTTTAAAGCTGAAAGATCAGGACAATGACATCCCAGAAACCTCAAACATTCAAATTTAAAATATAGAGAACCATAAACAGTACGTGAAAATGTGAGTCTCAAGGCCTTATGTTAAGCTGAAAACTTTAAAATACGAATTTTCTTTGAAATCCATTTAAATAGATGCAGAAGTAGTAGTCCAACTCAGCAGAGAATTTCTAGTGTGGGAAGGAGTCAACTTGAGGAAAGGAAACAATTTAGTGTTTCCTACTCATTGCTTATGCGTGGTATCCAAAATGAGGAGGTTTGCACATAACATGCCAGGATTTCAGAAATAAACAGAATGATAACAATTCTGCAATGTCTTTGAGTAACATTGGCTCTGATTGTGTTTTGCCTGGAAGGGAAAGTTGTCCTGCTGTATAGAGCAGATCCAGTTCTCTACAGCCCAGTGGCTCAAGACATCATTTGAGTGAATTTCCATAAACTTAATTTTAGTTCCATGCTTTTGCTTGTTGTATTATCTACAAGCATCATTATCTAGAATTATCTACTAAAATCAAGTATATTTTACGCCTGATCTTTCACTGAAAGTCAACTTTTTGTTTGTTTGTAGAAAAGTAGTAGTGTCTTGAGAAGGTCATAAAGCCTTGCTCTGCCTGGAGTTTTGTTGCTGTTTTGTTAGCTGGACTTCGTGATCATTACGTTTAGGCATTCTAAGAAGAGTGACATGAGAATTTCCTTCTCTACAAAAATACTGAAGACATAGCAAACTGAAAAAACAAGTTACATACTTGTGTGGAAACACCTGTTCACATAGGGTAGCTTTAAAAAGTATAAATCATCAACGTTTCCAGACAGTGATTTTCAGGCATTTTTGGAAGAAAAGTAGGAAAACAACTACCTGATTAATGAATCATAACAACACAAGAGGAAAAGATAATTTCTTTGCAGACTTCTTATTAAAGAGGCATCATTTGCTAAAAGTTTTCTGATTCATGTAGCACATAAAAATCAATTATGCAAGCAAGGAAGAATAATCTTGAAATTCAGCTGATGTCCCTTTTTGGACATTACTTCTCTGTATTAAAACCAGAAAGACAACTTGATCATGTAGTTTTTGAACCTAAGGCAGCCAGGGAAGAGAGGTCCATCACGTCTGGGTCTGGACTGCATTCCCTCCTAAGGCACTGCTGTGGCCCTCTCTGACTCTTCCAAGGTCTGCAGGATCTCAGCCTGGGAGAGCATGTGGGGCTGTGCCAGGGCAGCTGCCCTCTCAGCTCCTGCCACTCATCTCTTCCTCGACAGCACAAAACATTTCTGCAGCACTTGTTATTTGCGGTGAGACAGGAGAACTCGTACTGACACATCCCTGTGGTCCTTGTATCTCACTTAAAGCTGTCAGCAGATTCCCCTGTCATGCCAGCCCCCCAGACAATAAGGAATCCTAACGGGCAGCTTCAAAACCAGTACGCTTAAAAGGGTTTATTTGTCCTGCTCAGGATTTTCATGTCAGCAAGCAGAAATTTCTTCATAGACTAATGTTTAGAAGTTACTTGTAATAAAACTATTCACTAAAACTCTTTCTTAATACAACTTTTCTGAGAACAGACTTGCAGGAAACAAAGAATACCAGCCTGTCTACTGCCAGTGCTGTTTAGAAACAGCCCTTGGCACAGTAACCAAATACTGAGGGAAAAAAAAGACAAAGCAAACATTGCAGCATCCCAGTCAGTATTTTTACAATTAACAGTTAAAGATACAATGTTGATATAGATAGCTGAACAATTTCAGCGTAAAGGCTTTGCCTGAAGTTTTCTGGAAACTTGGTCACAGAAGGGACAGAAGAATTACGAGACTGAACTGAAACTGATTCCTGGGATTGCTTTGAAGTGTAAGCCCAGGATTTCACTTGCCTTTTGTTGATACAGACATGTTACACATTAAAGCAAAACTTACTTGGACACTTGAGATATTTCTATTAGTCTAAGATATACTAAGTATTAGACTAAATCTCTTCAATCACAGCTAAACACTAATTTCTCATATTATATATCCTTTCTGGTATTTAATAGGTCATTAGAGTAAGTTCTTCGAATTTTCATTTGTCAAATCCAAGAAATGCCAATACTTACTCAAAATACAGAGTGAGGTCTGTTGCCAATATCGATTGCTTTAGAAGCTGCATAAGGTCACTGTAGTCCTTAGAGGACAAGTTAGCAAAGATGTTGTGACCCTGTAATGAAAGAGATAAAAGAGGTAAAAGGCTAGCAATCAATACAGGTTTTTAAAAGGTTTCCTAACTCTCAAGTCTACTGTTTCCCTGTAACAGAGGCCTTTTCTGATTCATGGCAAAACTACGACAAAATAATAATGTTAATACTGCTGAGATTACATTGGGATGGAAGAGTTGACGATTGTAATCAAGTACCTGGTATGTTTTTCTAAACTCTGCTGAAATTATAGCCTCTTGAGGAAAGATTTACTCTTGGCTCTGGCTCTGCATAGACTCAGTTTATGGGAAAAACTATGGATACATCTCAGTCTTTCCTCTTATTAAATGTTTTGGGAAGCTCTGTGTTGCAGCTTTTGAGTTGTGCTCCTAATAGATTTATCTGTGCTGCTGCTTGCAGGCACACAAACTGCTCTTAGAGCAAAGACACTAAATCAGGATTTCCTTCAAAACAGCGCTTTTGCTCACTCTGCCCATTACTGTGCTGTCTTACAGCGTATACAAGCATTGCCTATGCAGGCTAAAGAACTGCAACTTTATGTGGTTTGAACACCCTTTGTAGGCCCAGTAGGCTACTTTTTAAGGGATGATGGATTAAGAATTTGAAAGGTGTTCTATGGCTAGAATGAAAGGAAACAAATTATTTAATATTGCTGTTTGAGAGCAGGAAAGTTCTTTTGTAACTGAATTTCTGAAAACTAAGAGGGACAGAGAACCCGTAATCCTCTATGAAATCCTAGAGAAAATAAGCTGAAAGAAACAAAATTAATGGAAAATTCTAAATGCAAGCTTAAGAAATGGTCTTTGTGACATTAGTCACATATAATTAAATTAATATAAATAAAAGTACTACACTTTTTTTTTTCCTGATCACCTATAGAAATAATGATGTTCTTGCTAAACAGAGCCTTATTTTGGTGGTGTTTAGCACTGTAATGCACACATTCAGTATGCACTGCCATCTGCTGCTTAGGAATATTAAAATGCCCTTAAACCCAACAATCTTCCTGCAACAGGATTGCTATAACCATGATGGTCTGAGGACATAAACAAGATATGGTCTGGAGGTAGAGATGGTATTTTTTGATAGATCAGCTAACTGGTGGACTGAAAAAACACTTTGCCATGCATAAAAAATGGTCTTCTCTGTGACAATGAAATTATAATTTCTTTTCAGCTAAATATTGAGAAGGATTTGAGAATCTAAAGCTTATTTATGAAAACCAATTTTAAAACCAAAGTACTCAGAAGAAAATAAAGCAAAATGTATCAGGAAAATAGCAGCTCTTACAACAGGGATTATTTACCAAGTTGTCTATGATATCCGTTGCCTTTCTGACCTGTTTCATGGTGTATAAAACCACATCACTACAAAGCTCAAGATCACTTATACTGAGGTTAGCATGTCAAAGTAAAGGATAAGTAGCTCCTTTGTCCTACATGATAAAAATCTAAAGAAGTAATACAAAATACTGTTTTTCCTTCTAGATAGCAAAGAGAGACGAGAATATCAACATCAGTGGACAGGATATAATCTAATTTCAGCTGATTTGAGAGAGGAGACCAAGTGCTCAGCCAGTGAAAGTTGGTGTATCTTTAAGTAGATTGGAGGATCCAAATCTGCATTTATTCCAAACTAAGGAGTGTTGTATTCCATTAGCAAATAGCATCTGTTGGATAAAAATCCCACAGGATTAATTTTCTGGTCTAGAAATGAGGACCTGAAGAAGAAACTGCCTGAATGATCAAAGGCGAGGACTTGCATTTCAAGTAATATTTTACATCTCTGAAAGAAGCTGGAGTAGATTTTCCAAGGAAAAAAGTATGTTTTCATAAATTTCTTTATTTTTAAGATGGAAAAGATAAAGAAAAGCATCTAGAGTGACATGAGCTATAAACTTTCAGAGTTGTCCATGTCTTGAGCCTGTCTTCAGAGAGATATTCAGTCATGATGAAGATTTCAGGAATTAGAGAAATCACTGTTTCCCAGGAAAACTTGTTCCAGAGGCCTAACAGTCTCATTGGTCTAGAAAAAAAACCAACAAAAAACCCCCAAAACCTTTCCTTTTTTCCTATGCTGAACCAGTCTGTTTAACTTTCAAATGCTGCTTTTTCTTACACCTTTCCCTGGTAGCATAAGGAGCCATTTAATTCCTAGTATCACCTTTTCACCTTTTAGATAAGCTAGGCTAGGCTAAGCAGATTGAACGGTTTAAATCTCATGCTGGTGCTCTCCTTTCCTATGTCTACTTTTTTAATATAGTGTGAAGAAACTGAACAGTAAAGCCACAGTCCCATGACTAATCTCTGTGGCACTGTACACAGAGGTAAAACCATCACCCTGTTCCCATTTGTGATCAGAGGACATTCCCAGATGCTCTTCAAAAGTTGCGGCAGATCAGCATATGGTCTCCAATTGAGTTGCTTGAACATTTTTGGTTTTATATATACTGAATGCATTTTGTAACCACCTATCTGTGTAAATGAAGAAAATACATCCATTGTTTTGTAAGGATTGTGTGTCCATCCTTCCACTTTTCTCACTTACTACATCTCTGGGGTAGCGCATGCTGCATACTGTTACGCATAAGAAATTCTAGGTAAGAACTATGTCTTTGTATGTATCTGCAAAGCAACTAGTGTACTTTGGACAGCATGATATTACTGATATTAATTTTTTAAAACCACCTCATTTAGTAAAATTATGCAAAACCATCATAAAAATACTGATTACAGAAAGACTGTCGAAGAAATTAAATTGGTCTAGTAAAGGATGACTGTGCTACTCTGAATACATCACCTGTGGGGAAAGGCAAGAGCTTGTTCTCGCCTACCTATAAACCACTACACAGGATACACGTAAGAAGACTAAGAAAAACTGTCAATATGATTAGGATATGTTCTCCTTGCCCCTAGCCGATTGAGACAAATATAATCTCTGAGCTCTATGATCAGCATTTGTAGTTGTTTAATTTTGTGCTAGTTGTGACCTTTGTGGTAACCAATAAATAATTCCTCAAGGAGAGGGCATTAAAAAGGTACTATGTGTGGTATTTCCTTTCTCTGGCTGAAACTGCCCAACAGCTTACACTGAGATTAATAGCAATGCTTTTGTACCTCACTTTGGAGAATCATGACAGCATGATTGAAATGGTGGTGCTCCAAGGTAGCAGAGGTGCCGTAGAGCTGAGCTAAGGCTGATCCGCTCCTGAAACAGAACATGGGGAGTCAACAAATACTGCTCATCTGCTTACGAAGCAGGTTTCAGAGACAATTTAGTAACGAAAGCACATAGCCACACTCTCCCTCTTTGCCTCAGTAACCACACTTAAGACAGTTGACAAGATCAAAATACTAACTTAAAGCCAGATACAAGGCATTTATGTTCCAGACTTTGCTAAATATCATCAGCTGTCTAAAGATTTTCCTGGAACTACATGAAATTTTGTAATGCAGCTTTCAAAGTGTCTCAGTGATGCAACAGCATAGGCGCAGCACTGTGCAGCAAAGACAAACAGTAATGTCCTTGAGCTAGGACCAGCTGTCCTGCTACTACTTTTTGGTTTTAATTCTTAATAGATATAAACACAATGACTGATTACAAACTCTTTAAAAAAAAAAAAGACAACAACAAAAAAACAACTGCAAATGCAGTGAGGTTCTGTCTGTATGTAAAATCATGCACGTAAAAAATACTAAGGTGAACAAAAAGCCACAAGTAAGAGCAGTGAATATAAAAGTAAAGTTTAGCGTGTCTTTAGAATGTATTTTCTCATAATGTTTATTATCTAAACCAAAATTAGCTTCAAAATGCACAGACCAGCTGGGTTTTCTAAGTTTAAAGAACAAAAATGTACAGAATACAATTATAAAATTGCAAATTGTTGGGAAGTGCAGAGTGCGAGACTGGATTGTCAGAATAGTTCACTGTTCCTTCACTTCTGGGACCCAGCCTAAAGCGACAAGATGGGTTTTCTTTCCAAAGAAATGAGAATAAGAGATTATGCCAGAGACAAAGAAAGAGTCTCCTAAGAGCACATACTATAAAATGGCACCATACTGATATTTAATTATCAGAAGGAGCTATATGAGAGAGAAGGATGTCCAGGAAACATCACCCCTAGGAGAATGTGGTGTTGAGATATATAACAGAGCAATTTCAGACAACTGTGATATTGCCTCCATCATATACCTCTTGAACTTTCATCACACAGAGCAGCAGTATTGAACACTGAAGATAAAATAGGAAAACGTGATGCTTAAATTTATGTCAGGTTAGAGGAATAAATCATAGCTGCTGTTATGAAAACTACAGCTTCTCTTTTCAGGGTTGTTTTATACATGTATGATAATGTTTGTCTTTTGTTAAATGTCTTCAGCAATTTCTTTATGGAGCCGTAAAATGGTAGCCTCCTCTTTGTATTCTGTTGTCAAACAACAAGTATAAGTGATAGCAGACTAATGGTGAAACCTCTACCTTTAACTCAGCCATCCCTCTGCACAAGAGATGTTGGGCAATATTACAGTGGAGAATTGGTTAACTTAATCAGAGCCTAAAATGGTCAGAATGTAAATCTTGGGTCTTGTTTTTGTAAACTGGGAACATAAACATCAATCAGCTGAGCTTCCTTCCCATTTGTCTCGTCTTTTTTGATTCTCTTCAAGACTCAGCTGCAAAAACGCATCCAGCAGTGCTTGGTAACCTTTGCACCATGAGCTCTGTCTTTTGAGCACTGCAATTGATTTTCCTTGCTATGGTAACTGAAGATCCAGTGTTGTCATTTCATTGAGACGGTACAGCAACACCAATAGCTCAGGAAATGGCAGCTTAGTGAGTATCAGAAACATCAGTTTGAGTGATGTTCACTGAGGCAACTCGTCCCCAGAAGTGCAGCAGCCTGTGCATGCACACTTTGCAGCAGAGTATTTCTGCAAAAGGTAGAACAAAACAGGCTAATACAACATCACCCTGTCTTTCAAATATCTTTGGACAACCATTTGACCACTTCCCCGTCACGCTGGAAGATTAGCAGTAATGCAGAACAGACAAAGCTGCAAATGCATGCTGGGATCTGCAGGACAAGAGAGCCTCAGGGTCTCATATTCTGACTGCAGAGGACCTGCAGAGTTGAGAAAACAACATGGGATTTGAAGGAGTCTCTGTATCTGACAGCTTTATTTCACAGCTTGGCCAAGATGTTGTCAGGGGACGTTTCCTGTTGTCCCCCCACTGTTCTCAGGGAACACAGACTTTGTAAAGAATTTGACCTTAGTCAAGGGAGTTCCCTTACCACTACAGTAAGAAGTACCCTCAAACCTTCCACAAACCTGCTTCTACCTCACTGTGTCTGAGGGCAACAGCCTGGACAGAAAAAATATATGCAAGTCAGGGCTGCTGAATCAGGTCCTAAGCACTTTGAAGAAAATAAAATTCATTTTTAGAACTGAAAACAGTCGAGAGTGCAAGATTTCACATAGGTGATGTAAGAATCTGCCTTTGAGATCCAGCGTCATGTTCTGGTGGGTACTGACCATTGCAGTGGGTGGCCAGCCCACCCCTGCCCAGTGCAGCATGTCTCTGAACAGGCTCTGTGTGCTCTGGCATGTGGGGCAGGCCAGGGAGGAGGCATTTCTACAGACCAGGGATCCTGTGAGCTCCACAGCTGATGGGTATGTGGTGAGGCAACTACTCAGCTGCAGACGATATGCATCAGAGCTCCAGCACGGACAATGGCAACGGTTTCATACTTCATAAGCTAGGACTTACTTTATGTATGCTTGCCTATACTGGTGTGAAAGTTCTTGTGAAAGCATTATTTCAGTTTTACCTATTTTCTTCTCTTCTTAATAGTTGAACAAGATTTTTATGTCATGCATTCCAGCCAGCAAGAACAACCCAGATAACACAGTTTCAGTGTTTCCTGGGTTGAATACCAGAATCAATAATACCTAAGCCTGAAAAGAACATCAAGTTTTGGCACCATGTTTCAATATGCGGTGTCAGTTCAGCAGCCTGATACAAAGGACACCCAAAAGAACAGAAAATTATAAAGATGGATAGTCCTTCACTATATACAAGAGTAAGAATACTTGGCCTTTGCCTCGAAGGCCTGAAATTAATGCTTTGTTCTTTATCCTGGTCACCTTTTGCTCTTTTGTGGAAGAAAAACAAATTAAAGTAATAAGAATTAGAAAACTTACTTGGCTTGGAAGGCATTGTTGGTTCCCCTGTGGTCAAGGTCATGACATAAGCATCCCACAATCAAAGCCAAAATTTCAATTTCAGTTAGAATTTCCTGAAATCCTGCAGTCTGAGAGCAGAAAAAAAATAGCAGCTGTAACTATCAGTAGCAAAAGGGATAAGTAATGTTAGTCCATCAAGCAACAGTCAACATCGTTTTGACACCATGAACATTTCAGTAAGGAGAAGATAAATGCTTTATTGTCATATTATATTCCCTACTGTATATTAGATAGTTAGCAGAATAGATAACGTCCTTGGAGTGATCTGTTATTATCTCTGTTGCATTTCTACCATGCCATTTCTCCACTACCCAGAAGGCACTAAAGGCAAAAAGAGCTGAAAACAAACACCAATAACTACACACTAAGACAGGAACTGGAATTTCATATCAGAGAAATACAAAATTGATTCCATTTTGAAATTAGTGTTCAGAGAAGTATTTAGACAGATTTCTTCAATCCTGAGGTGATCATCTTAGTCAATCCTTCCTCTCAGAGATAGCCAAGATGTTAAATCAAAAGACCTATAAAAGAAGCCAGCTAAAATGTACTCTATGGAACTGTTATGAACTATTAAGAGATTTGTTATCTGGGACACATGAAACGAAGCAGCATGATTTAAAGAGGAAACGTCTCAAATGGCATATTTCTGCTGCAGATGCCCACTTGAATTTGTGAGAGAATTTTGAAAACTGATGTACTGAAAATCCCCACAAACAGCTCAGACCAGATGCGCCCATCTGAATGGGGGAGCTGATCCTAGAAACAATTTTTTGCCACTATACTTATCCACATGGATACTTGCCATAGCAGTTTTCCTGCCTGAACTGCCTCATGTCAGAGAAGAAACACTACTGTCATTGCTAACCTCAAGCATCCTGAACAGATCCTGTCTGGAGGAGGTGCTGGAGGTTGTGTGGGACACCACCTCTTTGGTGCTATGCAACTTACCCATGGCAGAAACAAGCTGGTTCTTCAACTCTTCAGAGGCCTAAGGGCATATTACCTGCAAAAATGACTGTCTGAGGTGGAAAATCATAACCCTTGCCTCTCCACAGTGCCAGTCTCCAACGACACTCCTCAATTAACCACACGATCTAGTTAGTATGAAAGGAAATTATATAAAAGGAATATAAAAGACATTTATATTGGAGGACCAAACCAAGGCTGAACACTAACAGTGTGTAAGAAACCCTGAATTCCATTGATTTTCAATGGGGCATGGTTTCACCCGGTGGCAAGAAGAGGGTTAAGTGATACAAAGACAGTGAACACCAGTGAGACTTGATGTCCTTATCTGAGCCCACTCAGAAATGCCAGTCAATTGCTGCAATACTATGTGAAAACTCTGCTATTCACCCTGAAGACCACAAATTCTACTTAAATAAATGCACATTCAAATCCAAATAGTCTCTGTTTTCATAGTCTGAAATGTGGTCGCAGTTAATATTTAGGCAGTACAGGGAGCCAAACTCCCCCAGGTGCTCAGGAATGCATTTCAGTGGAATTGAGGAAGTGCAGGAATTGCTACAAAAGCTTTATAATTGTGCTCAAAGTTTACGTATCAGAAAAGATGATCAAATATGAGGAAAAAAGATTCCTTTCGTGTAGAATCTAGTGGTGTAGAGAGTAACTTGAATATTGTGAAAGAGATTCTCCTGACTTCTAGTGGCACTGCTTTTTTTAGTTTCACTAACAGCTATCCAGGCAGAGGAAATTCTCTAAAAATAGTGTCTTCGTGTCTTCTCTTCTTTTTTTTTTAAACGTTGCTCTTAAATAACAAATAATAATCAAGGTCTATTTTTTAAAAAAGGGATTAAAAACCAGGTTTGTAACTGACAACATGCCACATGTCAAATTTCAATCTAGAGAGAATCATTCATGGCTAAGTTAAAAGAACTTAAAATAGAAGTTTTATAATATAAAATGGATGCTGTAATAAATATTCTTTCGCATAACACAAGCTTTGATTAAACTCAAGGATTCAACCTGTATTGCAAATGCAGGAAAGATGATTAAGGAATTTATTAACAGTAGCAATATCTCAAAAATAAATGCAACATTTTATTTAATCAAAAGTCTTGTAATTGAGTATATGAGAGAAATATAGCATATCTCACTTATTTAGAAACATTTGATTTAAAACAATGTTACGGTAAGGGGATATCTGCTTTGAACATAATGCAAGAAAATAGAGGATTACATTTCCCCATTTTTTGAATTTATACAGAGAGAAAAAAATACATGGCTATAGACGACAGTGCAGCAAAATTTATTTTCACTGGGAAAGGAATGACCCATAACTCATGAGTGGCAGAGTCTCCAGTGAGTTATGGAGGTCATTCTTTCACGGGAGGAAATGAATTGCATTCATTATACCTTGGCCCACATTTATATGTTTTGTTATTAGCACACCAGATGGGATTTTAATTTTGTATTGCTTACTTGTTCATTTTTGAAATAAGTATCAATGTGAACTGTGTTAGGCAAAAGCATTGATAATGAAGCCTGGGCTCGATCCTGCGGTTTACTCATGTGACATCCTTAACTTGCAGGAGCAGTCTTGCTTCAGTGCTTGTCTTCAGAATATTTGGGCGAGTCTGAAATACAGAAGTATGACTCACAGGACTGGGCTTATAATTGTTTGGTGTCTAACAGGAGAGAGAAAATACATACTTAGATATACAGGAACATACCTTAGATATGCAGAAGGCTGACCCAGGAGTGAAACAACTGGGTTAAGCTTTGTTGAATTTCTGTCGTTTGGCTTGTTCAATCCAGCTGAATTTTCCTTCTGCATTCAGTGGAAGCACAGTCGGGCTGGCAGAGGCTACCGCATTACACATTAGACATTACTACGCTAAGGTAAGTCTACCTGAAAATGCCCTGAAATAGACCTATTGGTTTATATTTGTGGTGCAGTCAATATTGCTGACTGACATGGAGAAATCAGGAATAGGGTGCAATAACTGCACAAAGCAGTGCCTTTTTGACCATCAGAGCTCCTCTCTGATGGTCAAAGAATTTTCCCCTTTTTGCAAGTGAAAAAACGAGACACATACTAACTCAGACTGTTCCCCCAAGACAAATGCAGTAAGAGCAAGCCTTCTGCTATTACTAATCTCTCGACTCTCTCTTCTGTGTCTTTTTTCACAAGATCAGTCTTTCTGTCTGAACGGGAGAGCAACCCAAGCAGATCATACACCTGAAATTAATCAATTCTCAGCCAGAGCCACAGCGAAGCAGGGTGGGACGCGCGGTGAGTCCAGTGCTGTGGGCACAGGCATCCAAGCCCTCCTGCACATGGAACTGCTGGTCGGGTTTATGACAAGGAGCGTGGGCAATGAAATGAGCTTGGCTTGAAAATCACGGATCACCTCCCACAGACAGTTGCATCCCTGTGTTGACTGCTAAAAGGATCCTGAAATTATGCTTTGAGAACCACGGTCAAAGCAGTTCATGGTTGAGCCCTCGCAGGCTCGCTGGCGGCCGTTGAAGCAGCAGTGATCTGCTTTCTCCCTGCTGGCTGCCAACGCAGTGGCCACTACCTGAGATGGAGATGCCTGGTGGGAGACAGCGCTTCCCACCGAAAGCCCAGCCTGCCCAAAGCCCGGCCTCGGAGCTCCACCTAGAGGTCCTCACGGCTGAGGTCGGAGGGCTCCCCACCCCCTGGCAGCGCTTGGAAGGAATTAATTAACTCCCAGCTGAACGGTGCTGCCCGACTTTGCCCTTACCCCTCAGAGTAAAGAGCTTTTCCTCTGAAGAGGAAACTGAAGAGAAAAAAAAAAAGCACGTCAAGTTTTCAAAACTTTAAAAACGACCGATGCCCACACATGACCGCAAGATTTCATTAGTGATCATCAGAAAGTGCCTGCTGAAACTACGTTAATTCTGCTCAGCTGAACAGCCTCACGCCCAGAAGAAGAGGTGGCCTTTCTCTTATTGAACATCTCCATTTCCTCTGTCTCATGGTGTGCAGGACAACTTTGCTACGCCTCCGTAAATACTTACAGAAACAAACCCACATAGCTGGGATGGACCAACATCTACTTCCTAGGGAACGTCATACACTTTTTTTCCTCACCCGACACACAAAATTCTGCCACAGAGACAATGCCAAACGGAGGAGGACAGCTGGGAACCCACGCACAAGACAGCTGTGCCCTGTGAGCAGGACACAGGCCGCCGACTGTCTCAAGCCCACGTAACACGGTGCTGGCGTGTGCTCTGAATGGCACAGGCTGCAGAGTCCCCCCCCTATGGACAGGGTCCAAACGCTAACCACGCTGCAGAGACCAGCCAGCAACGAAAACATAAACGTTCAGTGATTAAAAATTAAGGGACAAGCACATGATATCCCAGATAAAGAAATACTTGCACAAATGTTATTAATATGGCCACTTCAAGGTTCACAATAGATGACACTGGCCATTAAAACTGAACATGAATTAGAAATGGAAAAACTTGAATTCTTATTTTTATCTGGAGATAAGGCAAACCCAAAATGTAAAGTACAGTGTGAAGTGTTGCGTGCATACAGACGTGATGCTTCTCTTTTGCTGTATTAACCAGAACATTAAACATCCAGGACCACCAAGCTTTTTATTGATACATTTACAAGAATCCACTAGCCAAACATGGATTATTTCATGCAGGGAGGTTGCTGTGGGGTAGGGAGAGCGAGCGAGTAAGAGCAGAGGTATTTTCAACAGAATTTACTTGTATGCTGAAAGGAGTTACAGGTCCTGATGGAGATGCACGTTAATAAAACCCAGAAGTGTTACAGTGTCCGATGGAGATACAAGATTCGCTTAGATCACTATGTTGGAAGATAACCTTAAAATGTTTTAACGCAATACCTTCTACAACTATTTAGATGAAGCTAGATAAGAAGGTAATAAATATCAACATAAAAAATACTTCTGGCATTCTAATCTTCCTTGGTTTTGCACTTCCCAATTTAAGAGTCTGAAATAAATGTCAAATCAAAGAGTTCCAAAAGAAAAGCATTTTTGTAAGATCAAGATCCACAATAACAAGCTCACTCCAAGACTGCCACCTGTTTTCAGTCACTTCAATATGCCTGTGATATCATTGCCACTAAAACACTATAAGGTTTTGCCAAATACACCCCGCCTTAAATTGAGTAACTTGGAAATGAATGAGTATCTTAATAACTAGAAAAGAAATAAAACGTTGGAAAATGTTTAGACAGGTAAGGCAACGTGGCAGTAAAAGCTCTTACGGGATTATGTCTGTGGCTGGATACTTACAGTTAACATGGCAAACATTAGCTGGCAGACGTTGAAAGCATGCCTCCAGTTGTGATACAAAACCATTCGATAATTCTTCCTAACTGTCAAAAGCCACCTACACAGCGTCTGAAATGAAAAGTACAAATTGTATCAGGGCCACTAAACGTGTACAAATGGACTGAGCAGTGCCAAGACAAAAGCAGCAGATATCTCTGCAGCGCAGATGGTTACCTCGTAGTCAATTTTAAATTTCTGAACCATTCCAAGTTCCATGAACATCCGCAGGGCTGCAGTAATCATGGCATCCACATCAAGCGAGAAGTCATCAAAATGGATATCATCAATGCCAAGCTCTGACACCAGAGGGATGTTTGCTGCCTGAAAATGCCAAAGGGAAAGGGAAACTTCTGATTCAAAACTTGGGGTGTTTTTTCTGTGTCACTCTTACAAGAAACCATCCATACATCAGTTCTGACCTGCCAATATATCCCCTGCTTGATTTGAATGCTGAGCAATAAAAGTGTTCATCTGAGAAATACAGACGTGTCAAGCTAAGAGAGTGGGGAAACACTGGGAAAGAGAAGAACCTGGTATGAGCAGGAAATACGCTCACCACCCCAACTGGAGCCAGCATATAGCATTTAGACTGCGAGAGCTGACCACTTTACAGCTACTGCAGTAACACAGTATATTCCAATGCAAATTACAATGCCATAATGCAAGAAACATCTGGACATCCAGCAGCTGGGAATTTTAATTTCTACCATTCAGAAATGCAAAGTAAATATACTGCTCTGCAGAATTTCTTCATCCAAATGTCTTTACATTCATAAGCATACAAGTGCCCTTTGCTTTATGCTGTTCGTTACACATTCATAGAACAAAAAGAGTAATACAAGAATTGCCTAGCAGAAGTACTTTTCAAAGTAAAATAAAAATAATTTTCAACATGCTGATTATGTAGTAAGTTCATAAACAACAGCAAAAGCCTTACGTTTTGCTTTGTCCATGTAACAGCAGACTTTTGTTCTGTTTGTGATAAAGGAACGAGCTTTTCATGCACTCAAGAACATAAGAATGAGTGTGCAGGACCGGCTGATGCACACCGTTGCACACACAGATGTGCTGTGGCTGGCGCAGCGGCAGCACTTGCCGGAGCCAGGCAGAGGTGCTGAGGACCCTCAGGGCCTTGTCTGCCCTTCCTTATGCCCCTTCGGATTTGCCACTCATCTCCCTAGAGGGCATGTGGAAGAGGCTGCATCTGCTAAAGGAGCATCTGCTCCCCGCCTCCCGCAGTGAGAAGGTGATGGGTCAGGTAGAAACCTCACGAAGCGGCTGGATCCAGCCCACAGGCCATGAACTGGACCGTGCTGAATTAGTTAAAATCGCATGGACTCAGCTGGCGTGGCACATCCAGCTACTCACTTGCATAAAACACCAATTTGTTCATGCAACTGTAAGTTCACCTTCACAGTTACAGCTTCTATGTGACCACCTTATGGTTTCCTTTTTGAAAACTTGTGTTTTGAAATATTGCACCCTAACTACAAGTTACTGACAGGTAAAAAGTTTTTTCTGGTCAAAGGGAAAGTGCAAACTTGATAATTACTTTATGCAGAGATTAAGCTAGTTCAGCTACACCGTGTAAGAGAAGATGGTGTAAACCTGCCATAACATAGTATTAACATTGCAGTGTTAACGTATTTGCTAGCTAGAATAAAAGTCTTTTCAGTTCAGCACCCAGTAAAGCATGCCAATACCACAAAAAGTCAGGCATTATGCCAGTGAGGTTAACTGACATAGGAAATACAGTAAACCCATCAAGTCAAAGGTCATCCCAGGACACAGCTGAAGAACCTCTGGGGCAAGCACGCAGGCAGAGATGTAAGCTCTGTTAACTGCATACTTAACTTTGTCTGCTAGCGTACTTATCTAAGTTGAATCAATTCAGCATCTTCTTTTGAATAATTACCGAAACATTTGAAATGCTTCTATAAGACCCCAACAGGAGTTACATCTTATCACCCTGTAAGATTTGGCTGAAAAGCTATGTATTTACTTCTGAGGTAAAGAAAGAAAGAAAATACAGTTAGATGTGAAACAGCAATGCTGGCCCAGAGATTATGCTGTCCAGATCTTCAGTCGTCTTACAAAAATTGTGACTTGTTTTATCATTCAGTTATTCTTCAGAGCTTTGGGGGATCCTCAATTTGCATGCTAATATTTAGACTATGAATATGCTCAGTGCATAGTAAATGCACTCCCTATAAAATGTCTCTGAGGAAAGAAACATTCGTCCATCTTACTCATTTGTTCCTTAGAGAGAAGTTTAAATAACAAAGATACTGAAAGAGAAGCACTTGATTGTAAGTAGACCTATTTGAAATTGTTTTATTGAAACTATCTTTACAAACCTACTGCTGTATTTTCATTAACTTTGAAGTGGGCTCTGATTAAAATTTTCACATTTTTCGTCCTCTTAAAGGAAAACAGATATTTTCCTTTTACCAGCCTGTTACAATTCAAGGGAGAACACTTGAAGCAGTTGCTCAACTACAATTGTTTTTCCCTTTGTCGAACAGTGGAGAAATAACAATATATTCCAAATCTATTACAAACTGAACAACAGAATATTAACAAAGCAAGTCAAAAACAATTTCTTCCCATGTCAGTCTGAAACTTTTAAATATTTATGAGGTTTTTACATTCCTGAATTTAACAGGAGTGCCATAATCCAAAATAACTGCTGAATTAATAGCCAGGAGATAACATTTGTATAAAAGAACCATTTGCTTTACAACAGCAATAAAGGAAACATCAGAATTATGAGTGTTGAGACTAATTTGAATAATGTTAAAAAAATGATATGTTGGTGGGGCTGCAGCAATATTCTGGCTGCACCTGGCATTGTTGTCCTCAACTTCTTGTGCTGGAAATGCAGCAGTCCAGGGTTTATAGGAGAGCAGTCATTAAAACTTCATTTTTTTAATTACAAAGATATAAAAATATTCATAATATAGAATATTAAAATATATCCATCCCTAACATTTTGCTGCACTGCAGGACAAATTCCACTGGATTTCTTAAAATAAACAGCAATAACAACACTCTCTTCCAGGAAAACAGAGGGGATGAAAGTACCATGACAATAAGAGGAAGGGGCAGGCAATTAAAATTCAAGTTACAGTGAAATTATTTTTTAAAGCACCCCAGGGATTTACAATCACTTAAAAGGCCTGCTTCCTTTTGAACATTTTGAAGTTGAATTTCCCCTTTTTAAAAACAATTACGAACATTATACTCTGAAGTCTTTTTACCCTGCAGACCAAGTAATTTCAACGCTTTTCATCCTTGAGAAAAATTCACACGACTCTTCTGTGAGCTTATGGTAAATTAAAGCCGGATGTGTCTCCACTGGTCACGTCTCTATACCCTCTGGATACTAAAGCAAAAATTTGTCTTGAAAGGAACCATGAACACAAGTCAGGCTTAACACATCGAAGGCAACTGGTCTTGCCCAATAAAGTACGAACTTGGCAATTACCAGACTGGGAAACTGTCACCACTGGTAGGCAGCTTGAAAAAGAGGATGTCATGCCCCTGAATGAGAGCATAAAGACAAGGTCTGTGGCTACTCCAATACTCAGATGTGCGTGGGATGGGGTGGGACAGATACAGGAAAGAGGAAAAGCACCTTTGTACTCGGTTCAGGATTGGAGACAGATTCTCCCTTCCTCATTGCTCTTTGCTATCATGTAAATTGCTTCACAGTCTACTTGGGATATGCGAACAGCTAGGAGATGAGTGACTGATTGAGCCTTGCCTTTCATCAGCCATCGCCAAAGGGCCATATATCATTAACAACCATCGTACTTCCAAATACATGGAACACCAAAGCGGCTTCTACTGACAATAAAGTCCCAATTCTGGCCACTATAAAAGACAGCCCATGGGAATAGAAATATAATGTTTCTGGTTCGGTATTAATAAGCCTTTGGGCTGCCGTGGATGAACAAAACGTAAGAAGGAAAACTTTAGGAGTCAAAGTTTTATGGAAACTTTGTAAGGCTAAATACTTGAAATAAAAGCGACTATTTGATGCTTACACCTTAGTACTGCTGAAGACAACTATTTCATGGTTTTAGAAGTGTGTGTAAAACATACGCTATATAAAATGGTTTCTAGCACGCAACTAGATAACAATAAAGATAAGCATTCATACTTGTTTTTTCTTCTAGGCAGTATATGTTCATGTGTAAATGTATGTCAGAAAAACGCAGTATAACATGTACACACATATAGACAAGAGCATTTTACAACATTCTCGCTGTAAGGACTGAACGAAATGATCACAATCAATCAACACAAGCAAGAGAGGAGACTTCTGCTGCTCGTACTGCACATATTTCCTGAATGAGACAGGTTTTACATTAGTTCAGTTAATGCTACTGCAAATTGTTTTCCTTTTAATCCTACCTCCATTTTCTGTCATATACCACATTAGTACCTTCATGATGGCCAATACTGCTATTGAGAAAACATATGCAAAGCATACCATTAAATGCCCTCTTACAAATTAACTTTAAGTCAGTTTATAGTTATAAATAGTACAAGAATGATCCCTTGGAGGTCCTGAATAACTTGTAGGTGTGATAGCTGCTGTATGTTCATGATAGGTGTTTTGCTGTTTTAGGACCTGGAAACACATTATCAGTCGTTCCAAACAGGGAAGAACCTTTATGGATTTCCCTAATGACCCACACAGTTTTACAAACCAAACTTCCTGTCTGAGTCAGAAGTCTAGTTTTCAGTCTGTGAAAGCTATACTAAGCTAAAGTCTTCTCATTCCAGCTTGTCAGATGTACTGCCAGTGGAGACCAGCAGACAGGTCATATGCTGCCAGCACAAAAAATGGTCAGAGGAAGATAATTCCTTTAGGGAAAAAACTCTATCATGTCAGGAACAAATATGAAATAACAATTTAGATATTTAATAATATCCTATAGCAGAATTTGGCTATAAGACAGTCTGGGTCAGTGGTGGAGAGGGCAAGTTCAAGGTGTTGATTACATTTTTATCCCATCTTGCCATAACCCTCTTATTCCGTCCTTATTTCCTACAAATTGGCACACACTAAGAGGCAGCTTAAGGAGTTTCACAAACAGAAGATACCTGCAGCTCAAGGGTCTGATCGCAATAACTTCATTCAGCATTTCACGTTATATGAAAACACAGTTTTTGATCTCATTTGATACTAAGAACACGGGACAAAATTATCATTCCACAGGTAGTTGGGGAAGGCTTGCTAAATGATTTTGCACTAAGTCATCTAATAGCATATTCTTTGTGATCTTCTATATCCATATTTGATAATGTGA